ATCAAACACATCAAGGAGGTGAAATACCCTTCTTGGTTGGCAAACGTAGTCCTCGCACAGAAGCCCCCTACCTTCCGCATGTGCGTGGACTACACAGATCTGAATAAGGCGTGCCCTATGGACCCCTTCCCTCTGCCAAACATTGATCAACTGGTGGATGAGACCGCGGGATGCGAGATCATGTCATTCCTCGACGCGTTCCGCGGATATCATCAAATCTATATGCATGAGGAGGACGCTGAAAAGACGGCCTTCATGACGCCCGAAGGCATCTTCTGCTATCTTGTGATGGCCTTCGGCCTGAAGAATTCCGGCGCCACCTACACCAGGATGGTGGCCAGGGTCTTCCAATCTGTCTTGGGGCGCACTATGGAGGCCTACGTGGACGATATGATCGTCAAAAGCAAGAAGGCAGGCACTCACGCCGACGACCTCTGGGAAATCTTTGCCATCATGCAAAAATTCAATCTCCGGCTAAATCCGAAGAAGTGCACCTTCGGCGTACAAGGAGGGAAGTTCTTGGGCTACATGGTCAGCCGAAGGGGTATTGAGGCCAACCCCGAGAAAATCCAGGCCATCATCAACATGGAGCCTCCACGCAACGTCAAGGAGGTTCAACGGTTGACGGGTCGCCTGGCAGCCCTCAACCGTTTCCTCTCTAAATCAGCCGAGAGGGCCCTCCCCTTCTTCCAGATCATGAGGAAGACGGCGGGTTTTCAATGGACATCTGAATGTCAAGAGGCCTTCGACGAACTCAAGAGGTACCTCTCCTCTCCCCCAGTGCTCTCCAAACCAAAGGTGGGGGAGACTTTATACTTATATCTCGGTGTTAGCCCTGCGGCTATCAGCTCAGTACTAATCCGAGAGGAAGACGGCATCCAACATGCCATCTTCTACGTCAGCAAAACCCTCCGGGAGGCCGAACTCAGGTATTCTCCCGTCGAGAAGACGGTGTTAGCCATCGTTTGGACCGTCAAGAAGCTTGGCCACTACTTTCAAGCTCATCCGGTCCAAGTGCTCACTCATCAGCCCCTCGGCGCCCTCATGAGGAGTCCCACTAGCTCCTCTCGGATGGTGAAATGGGCCATCTTCCTCAGCCAATACAACATAGACATTCGTCCGAGACCTGCCATTAAGGGCCAAGCCCTGGCAGACTTCGTGACGGAATGCACCGCGAGATCGGCGGTGGATGAAGAGCCTTCGGCTCCTCTTGACGAGTGGTGGACACTCTATACCGATGGCTCCTCAGCTACCAAAGCATGCGGAGGGGGAGTAGTTCTCATCACACCCGAGGGCTTCCGCGCCTATTACGCCATCCGCTTCTCCTTCAAAGTCTCCAACAACGAGGCCGAATACGAGGCCCTCCTCTGCGGCCTTCGGCTGGCAGCGAATCTGAAGGCTAAGATGATCCACGTCAAGTGTGACTCCAAACTTGTTGTGGGTCAAATTTCCGGGGAGTACGAAGCCAAGGAAGGAAGGATGAAACAATACAAAGAAGCGGCTAAGGAGTTGCTCAAGGTGTTTGAGGCACATTCTCTCACCCAAATACCGAGGGCTCAAAACTCCGAGGCCGACATTCTATCCAAGCTTTCGGATGAATCCCCCGAGCACCTCTCCAAAATTGCAAGAATTGAGGAACTCAGCCTCTCAAGCATCCACGCGAGCCCCGTCATGAACATCCACTTAAGGCCGGAGGATTGGATCTCCGACATCATCACCTTCATCACCACAGGGCAACTGCCCCAAGACGAAGCCCGCGCCAAGTTAGCAAAACTGAGGGCTCCCAGCTACACCCTCGAAAACGGGAGGCTTTACAAGAGATCTTACAACGGCACCCTCCTTCGGTGCCTTCATCAAGATGAGGCCGAAGTCGCCATGGAGGAAGTGCACAGTGGCACTTGCTCAGCTCACCAGGGACCCTTCTCCATGTCCCGAAGGCTCATAGTTCAGGGCTACTTCTGGCCCACGATGGCTAGAGATTGTGCTGATCTAGCCCGAAGGTGCACCGCTTGCCAACATTTTCAGAAGGCCCCCGGCAGACCAGCGGTCAACTATGCTCCCATCAGCACCGCTATACCCTTCTCCAGATGGGGGATTGACTTAGTGGGCCCTCTGCCGAGGGGTACCTCCAACAACAGATACATCATTGTGGCCATTGACTACTTCACCAAATGGGTAGAGGCCGAACCCCTCGCCAGCATCACTGAAGCCCGGTGCCGCCACTTTGTTCTCAAAAATATTCTCACAAGGTTTGGCGTCCCCCAACAGATCATCTCCGACAACGGCACTCAATTTGAGGCAGCCCCCTTCTGCGCCCTCTTGAAGGCGTGGGACATCAAACACACTTTCTCGTCCGTTGCCTACCCCCAAGGCAATGGACAAGTAGAGAATGCCAACCGCACCCTCCTCGAGGGGTTGAAGAAGAAGCTGGAAGCCGAAGGGGGAGGCTGGGTAGAAGAACTTCATAACATCCTATGGGCCTACCGCACCACCCCTCGGCGTGCAACAGGTGAGACACCCTTCTCCATATGCTATGGCTTCGAGGCTAAAGCTCCAACAGAAGTGACCCTTCCCACCCGAAGGGTGGAACAATATGAGCCCGAGGTCAACGACGCTAACATGGCCCTCGACCTTCATCTCATCTCAGAACGTCGAGAGCAAGCTTTCCTCAGGGCCGAAAACTATAGGAGACAAGTCAAAGGCTACATCGACGCCAAGGTCCGCTCCCGGGAATTTCAGGTGGGTGACTACGTCCTCCGACGAAGGGAGGCCAGTCTACCCACCGAAGGCGGCAAGATGGCGCCTAAGTTTGAAGGCCCCTACATTGTCTCAGCCGTCATCAAACCGGGGACATACAAACTGAAACGCCCTAATGGGACAGAGGTCCCTAGACATTGGAATGTCCATCACCTTGTCAAATTCTATCAGTAAAACATGAGTGGCCAAGCCCTCACCCTCAACAAATGTAATATATGGCCCAAGGCCCCATCCGTTTGAAAGAATGATCAAAAGATCAAGCCTTCATCACCTACATATTGTACAAGCGGCCCAAGGCCCCCTTCTCTCCTACAAATGAGTGGCCGAGCCCTCATCTCTTCACCAAAATAGGCCCAAGGCCTCTCCCCCTTTTGAGGGGGAACAACAATTTAGGTACCAAATACCAAGTGCATGGGTCAACCCCACCACTCTTTGGAAACACCAAGTGTTTTCCCACTAAGCCGTACCCCATGAGGACGCAATCATACATACATTATGCATACTTATACATATCCTCCTAAAAAAAAAAAGAAAGAAAAAAAAAAAAAAAACCGGGGGGTGCAACACCCCTCGGCTCCGGCTGGTACCAAGTGCCCCCGGCTGTTTGTGTCCCACACACAAATAAAACCCTTCCCAGGAACGCTTTCCGCGCCATCCCCCAAGGGGAGGCAGGCAACGGACCATGTCCCGGGCCCAGGATTCGACTTCCACAAACGAAACGCTCCCCGCGCTATCCCCCAAGGGGAAGCAGGCAACAGACCATGTCTCGGGCTGAGGGGACGACTTTCAAAACCGAGGCGCTTTCCGTGCTATCTCCCAAGGGGAAGCAGGCAACAGACGATGTCTCGGGCCGAGGAAACGACCCTCAAACCCTTCGGGATATCGGAAGGTCATTCCCGAAGGGGGAGCCAACGGTTTATTCCGTTGCCTCCCATATAGGCCAAGCCTTTCCTAGAAACCAAGTTTCTAGATGCCTCTCCTACACCATCTAAAAAAAAAAAGATGTGTAGGGGGGAAGGAACTCCCCGGAAACTATTCTCCCCGGAGGCTCAACACTTCGGATATATGTTCCTGAAGGCTCCTACAAAGGCACAAGAAAATCTCTCAACAACAAGTCACCTGGCTACATAGCCGGAGGTTTCACTGCATGAAGCCTTGGAGTACAAAAATTCCACCGGAGGCCCAAGAAGAAGGCTCACTAAGCAAAGCTTCACCTAAATTCGGCTCGATCGGAGTCAGTTATCCGATATGCCGAAGGCTTCTCTGAGTCCTAAGTGAAGCTAAACCTATATCTACACAAACCAGAGGCTTCATGCCAAAGGCAGAATGTCCCCCGACTCATTTAACAATGAGAAAATTTCTAAGTCCACATATTAGCACCCGTTGGAGGACACTCATCAAGCCGAAGGATGCTCACAATATTTACACTCTGGATTTCACCAAGCCCACGAGCTTGGGTCCCCTCGGCTAGACTGTACACAACGGGGGCTCAGACAATCCGCACGCTCGGAGGTTCACTGCAGCACCTATTGAAGCTTTGTGGAAATTTGGCTAAGTCCACAATCGGGGACCCTTCAGGGGGAAACCGGGATGCCATCTACGAACCAACAGGCTTACAGCCGATGCCCCCCCTAAGCCACTTGGCAAGGACCTAAAGCTACACTACTAAATGAAGGCTCAGCATTTCCGGAGGCATGAGATACAATTTCACTTGGAGGATTTCCTGAGTTTAATTCATTTTAGCCCTCGGTCCTAAAACTTCACCCCGGAAGCAACTACAAGGATTCTTTACCGAAGGCTGCCAATGGAGTTTTACTTAGATTATTTTCTGAGGTTACGCGCTACATCCGAAGGGTTTTGACAAAAGTTTTGCTTAGAAAAGTTTCTAAGTCCGCAACGACAAGCCCCAGGCAGTCCCACGATGCAACTAAGGGCTTGTGGCTGAGTTTTACTCAAGAAATTTTCTAAGTCCACAAATCATGGCCCCTGATGGCTCAACACTGCATCCGAAGGGTCCTGATCAGGGTTTCACTCGGAAAAATTTCCTAAGTCTAACTTGTTGTACCCTCGGTCAAGCCACTACTACCCGAGGACATTCCAACGGGTCAGTGCCGAAATCTTGCAAGGGAGATCTCACTTAGGAAATTTTCTAAGTCCACAATTGAGAGCCCCCGGCCCCCGGCCACAAACGTACATTCATTCAAGCAAAGGAAGGCATACATTCATAAAAGGAAAGAACGAGGGCAAAAATAATTTGGAAAAAATGGGGCATATCATTCATACAAGAAGCCCGAAGGCATGTCATGTTCATCAAAAAGATTGTTACAATACAATTGTTTGTTTACAATACAATTGGCCGGAGCCGAAAAGCTGTTGGGGATAATTTCTAAACATGGGGTTCTTCGGTCGCATCTCCCCTCGGCTTGGAGGCAGCGTCTTCTCCAGCCTCTTCGTCATCCTCGCCCTCTTGCATGAGCTCGGAATCCTCCAAGTCTGGCCTCTCTACGCCCTCGGGGAGTGGAGCTCTTACGTCCGGCTGCAGGGGGGCAGGCCATAGACCGCTGGGTCGAACTCCTTCGGCTCAACCTTGAGGTGCCTGGCTAGCCTCCTATATATGAGGTTTTGAGTAAAAAACTCGCCACCATCATAATAGTCTTTGCCCTTCCGGGCTAGCCACATCGCCCCGGGGCCGCCGACCCATTCGTCGACGCTTTTCTCAATTACCGAGGCTACCCACTGTTTGTGGTCTTCGGATGTCCAGCCCCCAGCGACAAATTCAGATATGGCATCTTTCTTCGCCTGACCGACGGCCTCCCGTTTTTTCTCCTCGGCCTTGTCAGCAACCTTCTTGGCCTCCTCAGCAGCCACCCTCTCAGCATCCGCCTTCCCCTCGGCTCTGGCGATTACCTTGTTATTCTCAAGGATTTGGTTGAAGGCCTCTTGTTCCAGCCGAAGGGCTTCCCGGGCCTCACGAAGTTGCCTCCGGGACTCTGCCAGGGCCTCATCGGCTTGCCGCTTCTGGGCCTGTGATTCCTCCAACCTCTTGAGGAGCTCACCAAGTCCAAGGGCAGCCTGCAAAATCGAATCATCGAACAACGAGGGTCAAAGCTCGGAAATCAAAATATGTTAAACAAAACGGACTAAGTCAAAAGAAGGAAGGGAAAAATCTTACAGTGACGGAAGCTTGTAGGATCTTGCCGCCGAGGGCATCATCCTTCATCCTGGACAGCACCGACTTATCCGTCGGGGGAGTGGCGCCATTTAAAAACTCCCTCGGGTTGAGGGTGCCGTGCATAATGGCGGTTCCCTTCGTAATGGAGAATTGCACGTTCTCCGTAGGCCATGTCAATTCAGCCCCCCGACCCGAGGGAGCATTGGCAGTAGCAATCACCACCGGCGTGCCGGAAGAGGAATGACCTTCGGATAAAACCACCGGCTCCCCCTTCGCACCGGCAGACTTCTTAACTTTCTTACCGGGGGCCTCGACATCTTTGCCCGGCGCCTTTCTTTTTGCGGCCTCCGTTTGAAGGGCACTAGCGCCCTCGGCAATAGCTTGAGAGGGTCCCTCGGCCCCCTTAACCTTCGCGGCCTCTCCCTTTGGGAAGAAGTCTTCAACGGGCCTCTGCTGGGAGGCCCCCTCCTTTTTCTTCTTCGGCTCCTTAGCCAACTGTTTCTTCAGCTTGGCAAAGTTTCTAGCGTCCATCTCCGGGCCTGCAGAAAGCATTCGGTTATCAGATCACAATGGTAAAACAAGGAGAACATTAAAAAAATTTTCTAAGTACAGATTCATAAGCCTTCGGCAATCACCTCCGGCGCTTTCATACACCCGGTCTATCATGGGGTACTCTTCGTCTTTATCCCCCATTAACCGGAATCGCCGGAAGCCTAGCAACTTAAGCTCGTCGGGAACAGTGGCAGTCTTAATCGCCATCAGCTTATCGGACCCTTCGGGCTTCGCAGACAGCTTCTTCCCAGCCTTCTCGAGGGCATAATTCCCGACCTTGGGATGCCTCCGGAAGTGATCAAGGAGAGGCCTCGGAAAAGAATTATCAGTCGTCCGGATGTAACAGAACTTATCCTTCCACCCCTTATGGGAAGAAGGCACCTCGGAGAATAGCCTCCATCCCGGTAGCTGTTGCAAATTAGCGAATCCTTCGCTATTGGCGTGCCCCCCTCGGCACAAGTTAAAGGACAGAAAGAATTGATCCAGGGTAGGATCGACACCTCGAGATCTACACAAGGACAGGAACCCCGCCAAGTATGAGTGGCTATTAGGGGTTAATTGGCAGGGGGACAGCTTCACATACCGAAGGTACTCCAGCACAAACCAGTGCAGAGGGAAGCGCAAACCCAGCTCCACGGAGAGAAGGTGAACCGCAAAACACCCCTCGGGAGGCCTGGATAACAAATCTTCAGGGCCCGGCTCCACGACCTGTGCCGAGGGCCCGACAAAAAACTGCGTGGCCATAAGCTCGGCGCCCGTGGCTGTAGTCCTCACATCGAGGGCGGCGGTATTCAGATAGGAATGACCCTCCGGGATTCCCACAGGTTGGCCCGCATCGGCAGCGGCCCCTTTCTTCTTCGGGGCCCCCCGAGACTTCTTCTTCTTCTTAGCCGGGGCCACGCTGAGGGGCTCCGGATCCAGCGGCCTAGAGCTTCCGGCTTCATCGGCATTCACCGGGGGAGGAACGGCCATTGTGACTCTTCTCCGCTCTTTCTCTTCTTCCTCCTCGGCAGTTTGGATCGCGAGGGCCATCTCCTCGTCTTCAATAACTTGCTCGAACTCCTCAGCTTCGGCCTCGGTTATGAGCCGTTTTTGAACTTCGGCAGCTACTTGCGAGTCGTTGATGGCCGAGGGCTGCTCACTAGAGGACTCCACCTCGGAAATACTTTCGGATCGCACCGGGGCCTCCCTCGAGATGTCCTGAGAATCACTTGGCGAAGACATAATGTCCGAGAGCGAGGGGTCCTAAAAAGGAAGTTGCCTAAGTATCCTAGCCGAAGGCTACCAAGACCACTAGCACTAAATCTAAAGGAGAAATGGCAGAAAATGCTAAGGAAGTGATGAACAGAGGGACTGACCTCGGAAGTGTAATTCGATCGAAGGCTGGACTTTCTCTCACTAGAAATTTGGGCAGAGCTTCGCTAGAGAGATTGAATACGCAAGCGAACTGAGCTCCGCCTTGGGGTATATATAGGCAACTGGGCCTCGAGAACTGGGCCTCGATTCAAAAGCCCATCATTACGGGCCGCCGGTTCAACCAATGGATGGCACCCGCCCCCATCTGCCAACGACAAAGTGCCACGTGGAACCCTCTTCCAACGGCTCTATTACAACGGTCATATTCCCGAAATACTGGCATGCCCCCGGGCAATAGCCTCCGGCTATCACCCACTACAGCTCTCGGTAATACTTTCATCCGGCGCCTTCGACAAAGCAGCAGTGTAAGCCTTCGGTTTATCGACAACTTTGCCCCCATGTCAAGGGAACCCATCGGGGCCAAACACGCATCATAACTCCTTCAGTCCGAACTTGCCTTCGGCCTAAAGGAGTGGGGGACTGGGATACACCCCTCGGGGAACACACAGAACAAAATTTTCACATGCAGAATTTACACGCGACCATCAGGCGAGAACCCCTCGGCTATGTGCATCATTACACCCTTCGGGAAAGGTTTAAAATGCCCCACAAGTCACTTGTGAACAAGGAAGCAACCTTCACCACAACACGTACATGCCATGCATTCATGCTTCCCTCAGAAAACCCTCGACATGTGAGGGACTGAGGGAAAGCCCTCGGCAGACGTCAAAAAGACTCTCCATCAGAACGTGAAGCCTTCGGCAAAGATCAACGCATCAACACAATTACTCCTTTTCCCTCAAGTACCTTTCGGCAAAAGGAGTGAGGGACTCCTGATGGAGTATATGGCCCAGGAACCCCCGGCCCATAGACTCCTACTTCTCCGACACAAGTCCATTGAGCTCAGGAAACAACTCAGGCCCAAATACGACGGCCCAAGCCTCAAAGTAGCCCAGAATACACACTGGGGTGCCTTCGGCCTCCTTGGCCGAAGGCTCCAGAAACTCACGAAGTAGCCCTCTCTGACATACGAAGCTACTGGGAGAAAACGGCGAAAAACATGAGCCTTCGGCATTACCAAGCCCTCGGTATTAGGGAAGCCTTCGGCTGAACTTAGCCCTCTGCCACTCGGGGCCTTCGACTACACAGGGGTCCTTGGCTACATGGAGCCCTCGGCCACACAAGGTGCTTTCGGCCTGACACTCTCAATCATCGAAGATTCCTTTTAGGGACAGCCAACCACCACATTTAATGCCACGTCACATCCGCCAACCGCGTTCAATGCGGTGAACGTACCACTGCCGGTGCCACCAGGCTGATATGACCCTTCGGCCGTTAGATTACTGACACGTGTACTCTCATCGCATTTATTGCTGCTATAAATAGCAGCCCATTTCTCCTTGTAATCGACATCTACATCCCCAACTCCACATCTCGAGTTCATTTAATAAATCGACTCTCTCTCCTCCTATTTGCTCTGACTTCTCTCTAGTTATTCCCGCAATAACCCCTCGGATAAGATACCCCCCGGGTAGACTATCCATCAGGGTAATAAACCCTCAAAGTCTCAAACTAATTTAAAAAGTGCAATTTACCCCTTATATAGGAGGCTTTGTCCGGCCGTTGCCAATTGGGGCGGTTCCTGGTGGATTTTTATTGATGAATTTTTGAGCATCTTCTTTATTAAGCCTACCTTACCCATACCAAATTTCAGATAAAAATTCAACAGGGAAGACAGTCAAATGATTTTCTGAAATGTATTGCGCTATTTAACTGCGCAGTTATCTTCAAAAATTCATTTAACTACCTTTCCGATTGAATATTTAGCCGAAATTCGGTATGAGTAAACTAGACTTAATGAAGAAGATGCTCAAAAAAATTCATAAAAAAATTCCACCGGAAACCGCCCCAATTGACGACGGCCGGATAGAGCCTCCTATATAAGAAGTGAATTGCACTTTTTAAGTTAGTTCGATGCCCTATCTAGACATTCTGACCCTTTAGCCAATTATAATTTTACAACATATTTACATTTTTCCATTGCAATGAACTTAAAGGGCATATATACGTTTCTACTGTGAACAACAAACAACTGTATTGGTCACACCATTATTTGATCTACATTGGCAATCAAAAGTGAAAACATGAATTTTCCACTTGCGCAACAGAGACTAAGAAGAGCTAGGCTAGAGTTTGTGACGAGCTCTGGTAAATTTCATCAACATGACCCGCCGGTACATAAATGGCATCTTGCAGCCTGCTGTGGTTTCGGCCATAGAGGACATATACGGATAAACCAATTAACAGCCATATTCCAACTCGAGCCCATGTTGCAGCACTGTAAATTACAAAAAATATTAGAACTTTTTATTTATGTTGCAATCCATTGTATATTCTAAGGTAAAGGTAAACATTTAAAACCGTTTTCCTGGGGTACTCTTTTTACCCTTTCCTGCCATTTCCGAGTTCCAAGCATTGCCTAATTCTTTTTCATGTGAAGAACACATAGAAGTGCCTCAGAAATTAGCAGACTTACCCAAGATTTATCAGCAGGTATACATTGATGAGAATGGAGAGAATTGGCAGAAGTGGAACACATGGACAAACAAATCCTGGACAAAGAACATCATACATTGATTCAGCAGAATGTAATTGAGCAGAATGTTTTTAAATGGTTAGCATTTTAGTAGCAGAATGTAATTGAGCAGACAATGTTTAAATGTTTAGCATTTTAGTGAAATACTCCATATCATTTAATCAGGAACTATGTAACAAAAGAAATTTGCAGGAGTGACATACCTCCTGAATGTCCAAAGCTGTGGCGGGCTACATCTTGTTCTATGCTCATAAGCACAACAAGACCTGAGAGTACTAGTAAGCCGCCAATCCCAGAAAATGTAAACCTCACAGAACTGGTCAAAGAATTAACTAATAATTAATCGGTTGATCAATGAAATTTCACTTAACGATAATATATCACATTGCAGGAAAAAAAGTTACTTTTTATTTTATTTTTCAACTGATCAAGAAATAATGCCTCTGATCTCATGTACAAAGTTAAAAACAATTATTTCTGTAAGCAGACATTTTTTCCTTTAATTTCTTAAATAATATAAGCACTTAAAATCTTAAAGCTTGAAGTACGGGGAGGTAGTTTAAAACTATGTTTCACTTTTTTTATATAATGTTTCATCTATCTATAGAACTTAAGTTTTTTTCTTTTTTCTAAAACACCAATTTCAACTTATTTTTCAAACAATATCAACTTTTAAACAAAGCACTTAACTTGTGTCTATATTCTATAAAATAAATCACTTCTCACTAGCGGAAGCAAACACAAACTCACAAACATAACTTAAGTGTTGAATATCAAAGTATGAAAAATATTATAGGAAGACATAAAAAAATATAGCGTGACGCATTACAATGAAGGACTCTATTCTATATGGGGAGGCGAGTGTAAAACGCACTTTGGCATACCAACAGTCGAAGCAGCAGAAGTAAGTACAAGCACCCCAAGACAAGTGGCCATGATGGTCCATCCAGCAACTTTCCTCCTTTGGTTTACTAAAACTGCCCAAGGTCCAGAAAGTAAATGTCACATAACGATTTGAGTAAACTGTATTTCAATCCCATATTTTTATGGGTTGGCAATGCTAGACCCGTTATGTTTTTGGAAATTTAGACTCATTAATTCCAAAATATTATCAATTTAATCCCAAAGT